AAGATTTTCTGACTGGAAAGGTTCCTGTCATAAAATGACTTTGATACTGTGGTTACTTGGGAACCTGAATCAAGTAGACTGTTACACTGACTCCCTTCAATGGAGACTGCTGCAGTACACTTTGGGCCAATAAGCCTTTTTGGAAGACAGTCAAAGAGTAATTGGGCTTGGGAATGGCTTTCACATGTGACTTTTTCTTTGTCCTGAAATCTTATGGGACATCCTCGCTCATTCTTGGGTGCAGTCAGTCCCTCCACTGCGACCCGGTCCAGTTTAAATGACCATATTTGGCTTCCCACTCTCTTTGCCTCTCTCTCAACTCCTTGTATTTCTGATCAACCAAGATCTTATTTGGAGGACCTTCACACTCTCTGGTTATATGTCCATCATTACCACACTTGAAACAGAACCAAGGTTTTGGTCTGGGTTTAGGTGCCATTTGTTGGGCTTGTACTGCAACTGGAGTTATACTAGCGGAGGCATTTAGGGTGGGATTTCTCTTTTCAGCATGTTTTTGTTTCCTTTGCTCTTTCTTTTTGTTAAGTTGCATTTTTAACTCAGTTACCTGCCTCCTCAAATCCTCTGTTTCAGTGATGTATGTTTGAAGTACACTGGTATTCTCATCATGCGTGGAAGACATGTCTGGGACCAGCTGCATGTGTACGGATGATTTAGCTTTTGCACTCCCTAAATGACGGTTCATTCGATCAAATTTTGCAGCCCTTCTATCTTCTTCAGTCCGTAACTGTAGAAGAAAATCAGAGAAATCAGGAGCTGTATCTGAATTCAGTTCAGACTGCAATGCTAAGATGAGGGACTGATCCCAGCAGCCGTGGCGAAACTGTCTCAGCAAGTGTTTCCCAGTCTCTGAACTCCTCACACCACCCCTCTGTGCAGCTGTGGTGAGCAACACCTGCAACCGCTGAAGATACTCAGATGCCTTTTCCCCTGTGTTCTGGTGGGTATTCAGAAACCTTGCGAAAATTTCCTCCCCATCCTCAACTAATCCATAAGCTGAGCCAAGAAGCTTGACATATTCACGAGGAGCCGCATGTGGGCCAAGCTGCCTCACCAAGTCAGAAGCTGGGGGGAGTAAGCTCTCAAGAATCTTACGGCGTTGTACATCAAGTGGAAGATTATCTTGAATCATGAGTTCCACATGAAGTGACCACGTCTCAAAATCTACTTCATTTTGGGGTTTAGGAACTCTTCCTGAAAATGGGCGAAGACCTTTAGAGCCTTGACTTGGAGTGGGAGGGGCATCGCTTTTGATGACATGCTCCACGATTATCTTTTGGACTTCAGGAGGGTTGTACACATCACTGTCTAATGTTAGTTGAGAGACAGGGTGAGTTGGCTTGGAGACCGTTCTCTGTCCTTTTACTTTAGAAGTGGTTTCAGCTACAACCTCTTCAATCTCTTTATTCTTTGCAGTCTGTCTACGTAGCAGGGGTGTCCAACTATTATCAGAATCTGGTTCATTTTCTGAGCGAGAACTGTCACTTTGTTGGCGTGGGAAAAGTGTGGGTGACATTGTCTTTGAAGACTGAGCAGTTTTACTGGCACCATCTACACGCCACATAATGTCTGGGTTCGAAACGCTGGGATGGTACAGAGGGAGGGTGGAAGCCAACTTTATGACAGTTTCTTCAGATTCAAACTCCACCAGGGCTTTAACACCAGTACCTTGCCCTGTCTGTCTTACTCTAAGAACTTTATCAACACAGCCAAATTGCATACAAAATTCAGTAATTTGATCATCAGTAGTTGCTGCTGTAATTCCTTCAATGTATACACACTTCTTCATATCAGTACCATATTCCTGTTCTGCATACATTGTGAAAAACGGTAACACTCAATAACCAACAGCTGTGAAATGTTAAACAAAGACTAACAAAAATCAGCTAAATGGAAGTGTTTTCAACTAATTTTCCATCTACTCCTCCTGGCCTGGCTCGCCAACTTTTGTAATAGATCCCTTAATTGATTAACTTAGGGACATGGATATTCTAGGTACTTTCAATGAGGAGAAGAGGAACAAGAAAACTAAAACACCTCCTTATGCTGTCTTATAGAGAACACTCTATGACATTTATTACAACAAAACACATAACAGTCTCATCAGCAACTTCAATAATATGCAGAATGTTAACAACACTTATGAGACAAAATCAATACAATCCCCCCTTCAATCAGTCAGTTCAGTTTCCATATTAGTATTGGTCCATTTATGTTTCTTGTCACAGTTCTACCTCCACCAACCACTCTGGTTTGGTGAGGAAAGGAAAAAAAGTAAAATATGGTGTTGAAGTAAAAAAGAATAATAATAAAATAAATTCAGAGCTCTGAGAAAAACTTTGTTAATCTACCCGGGTAGTGTGTGTGTGTGTGGATAAGCCCAGTGCTTATCTGCAAAGATGAGTAAAATCCTCATTCGCCGTCCTTCTGGGTGGAGCAATACGTCTCTGGAAAAAGCCCCACTGGATTCGCCTTCCAATCGCCGATCGAGTATCCAGCAACTGTCTCTCGCACTATGTCCCAACACAGTAAAAAACAATTGG